AATCACAAGCTGGTATTTGGAAGCAACTGAACAACATGGCAGTTGGCTAGAAAATTAATACAACAACCCATCATCAGGAAGTTTCTTTGACTGGAATCTTCTTCCTGTTGATGATGAAATACCAACCATCAAACCATAAACTCCAAAAGCTTTCCAAGAATTTACCAAGACGATACTACCAGCGGATCAGAATATGAGGAAGATGATGCATCAGAATCCACAAAGTGGAAGTGATGAATAAAGTGGCGACGAAATATCATCAGAAGAATAAATAATATTAAAATATTTATAAAATTGGCTCGACTCTAAAAAAATTTGGTTGGAACAACGAATACAGGGTACTGCAAACCATTACTTTGCTCCCTTTCTTGCTCGTCTTCGGAAGGATATGGTGAAAGTAGTAAACGACAAATCTTGGCACGCATCAATGAGAATATTCAGAGGTGCAGCGAAGGATCTAAATATTTTGAAAGATCTGATTCAGAAAAACAGTGGAATTCCCTTCGAACTGAATTCAACGAACCCAATTCGAGTGAATTCAGATGCCTGCCCAACAGGCTATGGAATTCACGCAGAGTCAACCATTACAATTGGAAGATTCACTTCCTCAGAACACATCAATGTGAAAGAGTTAAAAACACTCCTCATTTTCTTCACACAAGCAGATCGGTTAAACCTTTATGGTCCTGGACAAGCATTCGAAATCAGAGGCGACAATGTTACAGCAATTTCCTATATAAGGAGAGGTTACGGAGTCATAGAAGAACTCTCTCAAATCGCCAGAGACCTCTACAAGATCTTGATGAGAAGAAAATGGTGGATTTCAAAGGTGATTTACATTCCCTCAAAGGAGAACAATCTAGCAGACAGACTGAGTCGCTTAACAGAATGGAAATCATCTCAAGAACTACTGCATCTAGTTCAGACAGAATTTGGAGAGCACCATGTGGACAGATTCGCGACATCGGAATCAACCACAACAATTCAATTCAACTCATGGATAGAGAACGACACATTCTTGAATCCATGGGAACAAAATCTGATGAGTTATTGTGTTCCTCCTCTGGGTCTGATATCTCAAGCTCTAGTTCATTGCATAAAATCAGAAGCGAAAGCGACATTTGTAGTTCCAGACTGGCCCTCTTCGATATGGTTTCCAGTCTTGCTAAAGATATCAGAAAGGATAATACCTGTTTCCCGAAAGATGCTTATAATAACGCCCTTGTCAGAGTTGCAAGACAAGTTCGAGACTTCCAATTTCCTGGTTGTTCAAGTGCATGGCAAGTTGTTCAAGCAATAAGGGATCTTAGTATCCTTTCATCAATAGCTGAGAAAACATTCAGAACTTATAATAGAATTTATGGTGGTTTTCTCTGGTTTATCAATGTGTTTGATCTCACCATTGATGATCCTATAGCTATTGAATATTACATCTCATACCTCTTGATAAATATTCAAGGATACAAAGCAAAAACTGTGCAAGCAGCAATTCAATTCTTTGCTAACCTTGATGGCAAACCCATTACCATCTCTGCCTCCTACTCTAAGGTTAAAAAAGGTGTACTGAAACTTTATACACTCTCGGATAAAGTTTCTCTTCAAAGAGATCCAATTACAGTCAAACATTTGACTGATTATGTGAAGTGCAAAGACAAAGTGGACAATTTCACTTTTCGACTCACTTCTGCTATTCTAGTGGTTGGTTTCAGACTATTTGCAAGACCTGGTGAGGTTGCGCGCTTAAAATGGTCCTATATCAAGGTTCTCAAGAATGGAAAAATCAAAATTGACCTCAGTGGTCACAAAACTGATTTCTTCCTTATTGAAAAACCAATTACTATTGACAAGAATACAAAGAATCCAAGTCTTTGCCCAATAACCCTACTAAATTCGTATATGGATTTGGTTCGTGAATTTAAAGATGACGATTCTCCTTTGTTTTCCTACGAAAACAACAAATTCCTTGATTCAAATGATATTTCTAAGATACTCAAGAATGCGGTGGGTATGGTTGACCAAGATGTGAGAGTTTCTGGGCACAGCATTAGAATTGGAGCCATCACAGAAGGACTTAGAAAAGGTGTTTCTACTTCAGATCTCATGGTTGGTGCAAGACATAAGAAAACCAACAGTTTATTTCCTTATCTACGATCTGAGGGTCTTGCTGGCAAGAATTTCACAGACACCTTATTTTCTCTGGACTAACCCATTGGTTTATCAACGATTGTTTTATTGTTTCTTTTGGAGAAATATGTAGAGTTGCGAGGAACGATGTAACGTTAGTATTTCGACAAATTGTAAACAATAAAATTGAGTTGATAAATAATTTTATGCTCAAAAAAATTAAGTATATTGAAATGGTTCAAACACCAAGCAAGGCGACCCACCCACCCGTTCCCTTATTTGAAACTTCAGGAATTCCTTGAATTCCTTCAATTAGTATTTCACTCCTTGAGTGTTTTTCCTCTTTGTCTTTTAGATCGATCTTGGTAAGTGATCCTTCTATGGATGCAGGATTAGTATCACCTTGTGATACAATAATTTTTATTTCTAACTAACATCATTTGAATAATTCGAAATATGCTCGTAAAGTAAGCCAGATTTATTTTTTCAAAAAATATTTCTGATGGAAATTACCAGGCATTTTTTTACAAGCAATTCACCTTTTAAAACTTTAATGGATTGGAGTTTTTACCGATTTTTTCCTGCAATGCAGGTTTTTTATAGGGGAGTTGTTCTACTTCAATCTCGATTTTGTAAACAACTTTATTAACTCGGGACAATGCTGAATAAAGTCAATGACCTAAAAGGCAGCATTTCTGAGCAACATACCTCATCCTTTGGATGAAGAATATGTTGAGTGAGCTTCTACCCATTGGTTTATCAACGATTGTTTTATTGTTTCTTTTGGAGAAATATAACAAATACAAAAGTACGTCTTTGCATTTGTTGTACACTGAGTAATCGTTAGTTCTGAGAGCACAATAAAAATCTCTTAAAGCTGGAAGGTAGAGTTCTAGTAGTGCATGAAGGTTCTTTCCTAACTCGGTACTTTAGTCAATTTCAATATTCACATATCTAAACGCAAGAGTTATGATGTTGATAATATCAACAAGATATTGTAGAGGTAGTGATTGTTTAAAATATGCATTAACTTTTGGATAAATTCTTGCAACAATTCTTAACAAGAAGTTCTCAGCATACAATCTCCAAACAATAATACAACACATTTTAAAAGTATGCCAAGGGCCATGAATAACTACAAGTTTTTTGTTCCATTCAGGAAGAACATTTAGTTCTTCTAGTACATATAGAATCTATTTTTGCAAATATATATATATATTTGAACAAGGAACACTTACCTTAAAAATCCGCAAGTAGATGTTAACATCAACCTTAATAAACATCAGGTTTTCGGTGGAATATTTGTTCATTAATTTGAATAATACTTCAAATAATCCTTCTGTACTATTGATTATTTGTGGTAAAATAGTTAAAGTTCGATATTTTGACATGCAAGTAAAATCATTAGGGTGGTTCGGAATTGGTCTAATCGGATTGTTGTATAAATTTAAAAGATCAGAAGTACTTTGGCTGGCCCACCAATAACCGTAGCTTGGATCGAATGGTTCAACATTACTAAATGTTTCGGAATAAAGTTCGAAATATTCATTACCCAATTCAAGAACAACTTTTAAAAAAGCTTTGAAGTTTTTGATGCTGATAGGTTTGACCATTCTATTAAAAGAGCCACCAATTGCAGTGTAGTGATGATTTTGAAGACTTTTGGAGTCTCTTGACAGTCGTTTTCGGGCAAAGTCAAGATCGAAATTATCTGGATGCCAAATGAATAAGCATGTCAAGAGAATGTTTTGAGTAATAAGTTTTTCGTCCTCAAGTAGTTCTTCTAGTGTTCTATAATACGTTGCTATTTTCATTCTACAAATATATATATATATTAAGAAAAAATAAACCTACGCAAGACCCAATTCAGCTAAATGATTAATGGTTGGGTTTGGGTTTGGGTATGGCGAAAACCTAATCACATAAAACGAACGGCTAATATTGGCTATCCAGTTCTTATATATGTATTATTAAATACATTAATATATCTATTCTGTAATACACGTGAAAAAACTCCCCGTAGTTATTGAGATAATCAAAAATGGTCAACTCAAAAATTCCTAGTATATCTATTATCTCTGCGACGAGAACGTTCCGGGTTATGATTCACTCAAATATCAATCTATATGAGTTTTGGAAGAAATGATAGAAAATACTAATTTTTTTAATTCGCCGTTCCCGAGATAATTGAGTCCTAAAGTGACCCCATGGGTTGAACCTACCTTGGGTCTGACAAAGTTGAAAATTTCAAAGTTGGGCCAGAATGAAACTTTTGATATATTGTAGATATATATATGAATAGACGATATTATGAATTAATCTTGTTGAATCGGTATATTAAATAAACTACAACATGTCTAAAAATTAACTTTTCAACATTTATTGTACTATTATATGAATGTTATTAGAATCATCACCAATCTCATATATATGATGTATTATGATGATATCTACCTTGTAGAATTGTTGGAAGTATAACATATGATATCCTTAGTATACTGTACTCGTTCTACCTTAATTGACCAAGATATTGAGCCATACTATGGAAATACTCTCCCATTTATATTAACTCATAGATATTGTAGTAAATGTCAAATATAATCATATATAATTGAAATAATCATTATTGGATCCATATTCAGACTGTAGGAAGTCAACTTGTGTGAAAATGACAATATTGGTTATTGAAGGATGAATATCTTACATGACTTAATTCCACTGATTGATACATGTCTAATTATCATGATTTATGATATATAATTGAAATAATTGAATTTATCATATATATA